TCATTGTCTAATACCACCACTCTCTACTTTCGCTTTTCCCTGTCACTTGGAATGTACTCCACAGACACCCTCATGAAATTACACTGTCCTCAAACAGCCTGGTCAGCTTTACCTTTTCAGTGAATATTTCCCCTATCACCTTTAGGAGAATTAATTGCTTCTTCCTTTGAGTTTTCACTACATTTTATTTATACTCTTACTGTAGTACTCAAATAGGTACATATGTGGTCATCTGTAATCTCCCTGTTAGATTTTTGAGATTTGAACTGTGTTCTAGTCATTTTTATATCCCTGGAATTTGTATAGAATTTTGTTGGGTGAACTAAGGCAGAAAAAAAGGAATAAATGAAAGAACAAACTGGAGGCAGGATATTGGTCAAATGATTATTTTAATAGCCAAGGTGGGAACTGATAAAGAGATCAGTAGCCAAATAGTCATTGGAAAAGAAGAGAAAGAGGAACAGAGGAAAAAGGAGATTATTTTTTGAGAAGTAGTAGGAAATAAGGATACGCCAGGTTGGTACAGCTTTTGGAGAAGGCTGAAAGCCAGGCAGAGGAATAGGTTGCCTTTATGCAGTCAGATTAGGACTTTATGTAGTACAATTATAAAGCCATTGTAGGTTCTTGAGCAGAAGATTGTGGCAGAGAGACGCTACAGTTAAGGAGATGGCTAGGAAGCTGTTGAAAGAATTCAGGCATGTGGTAATGGATGACATGAAGGGGCAAATGTGAGATTTGATGAACAGGATATAACATCTCAGGAAAGGGAAGGAAATATCACAGTATGACCTCAGGGTGTCTACCCTAGGAGGCTGAGGACAGTTGGGAAGAGGAACTGGTTGATCAAAAATGAGAACATGTTCAGTACCAGAAAATCTGTGTTTAAAGGGTGACAAAAATAATAAAGCAGAGATGACTGGAATTTGAACTGGACAAAGGTAATTTGGGAGGTCATCCCCAAGGGAGTAGGGATGGAATGAGGAGGAAGAGACAACATGAGACCAAGGAGCAGTCAGAGGAGTAGAAAAAGAAAGGAGTCTCTGTGGTCAAGGAAGTAAAGTGAAGGTCCACTACTTACTAGCTGTGCTACTTAATATTTCTCTGCTGCAGTTTCTTCATCATAAAAATTGGGGTAATAATAGCTTCTAATTCACTGGGTTGTTAAGAGGATTAAAGGAGTTAACCCATGCAAAGCATTCACATGATAAGCGATTTGTTAATGTTAGCCATGAGAGGAAAGAATCTCTAGTGTCTCCTCCTACTGCACTCCCACCCTTCTTTTGTCCACTTTCTATTTTCAAGCTCTCAGTTAGTGCCCAGAATAATGCTTGGCGCATTATGGCTTTCACTCAATGTCTGATGAATAAACAGAAGAGGATGAGAAATGAGAAAAGGTCAATGGAGTCGGCATCTGCTAAGCTCTGTTTTAATAGAGTTGGCTTGCGTAGAAACAGGACTGCAGCAAGCAGAAAATCGTAGAAATAAGTACAGACTACAAATCAGTACTGTTTGGCATGAAAAGAAAAATGAGATTATGGTAACTAAAAAAGGAAGCAGAGGCAAGGGAGAGTTAAGCTCAAATAAATGTTTAGATAGTGTTGATTATTACAGAAGTCCAGACACTGAATTTTTCATTGTCTCCTTGTATTTTCATTATTTTCTCAATTATAAAATGCAACAATTCTTTTAACTTGTCTTTAGTAATATTACACCATAGAAAAGAATTGTTTTTTTTTTGTTTTTTTTTTTTAATTTTTTTTTTCAACGTTTATTTATTTTTGGGACAGAGAGAGACAGAGCATGAACGGGGAAGGGGCAGAGAGAGAGGGAGACACAGAATCGGAAACAGGCTCCAGGCTCTGAGCCATCAGCCCAGAGCCCGACATGGGGCTCGAACTCACGGACCACGAGATCCTGACCTGGCTGAAGTCGGACGCCCAACCGACTGCGCCACCCAGGCGCCCCAAGAATTGTTTTAAAATAATTACCTAGCAAATATAATTTTCTCTATCTTTAAATGTTTATTTATTTATTTTGAAAGAGAGAGAGAGAGAGAGAGAGGGAGCTCGCAGTAGAGGGGCAGAGAGAGAGGGAATCCCAAGCAGACTTCACCTCCAGGGCCCAGTACCACGCTTGATCTTACAACCTTGAGATCATGACCTGAGCTGAAACTGGGAGTCAGAGGCTTAACCAACTGAGCCACCTAGGTGCCTCTAATTTTCTTAATAGCAGAATGGACAGTTTGCTTAAATTGTCATGGAAGCAATTATGTTTAGATATCTGCATTTGTCTAACTGTTCTTTATAGTTAATGATTTACTATACTTGAAACTTCACCACTTTTAATAACCTATTGTGTAGCTACATACTTGAATTTAACTGTAACTTCCTTAAGCCTTTTGGTATTGCTTACTGCACAGCCTACACTTTTACTTTATTACCAATGGATATAGTAATGGGCTTCCTTTTATATAATTCATTGAGACTAGGGTCACTCTCATGCCTGAACTGAGATAGAAGTGAGCAGGATTTCCAGGCAATACTGCAGCTTGATAGTGACTATCAGGAATATCATTATGGTTTCAACTGGTAATAGCCAATAGCTGTTTGAGACACAGGTTAGCACATTATCAGGCAAATGACTCTGTGGTTCACATGTTGAAGATCACTGCTTCTTGCACTAATCAGGGTTGTATAGGACACTAGTATACATAAAAGAAGCACATTAAGTCAACAGGTTTTCCTCTAAGACTTAGGATAATTCAAAATGAGAAAGTAAAATTTAGCTCAGATGTAAAGAATGTAAATATCTGCTTGGCCATTCATTGGGCTGAGATAATGAACAGAAACTCAAGCTAGAAAGTTAATGGGAAATAATATTTTTTCTGAAGGGCATGCTGCAGTAGAATATAATAACCATCCCCTGTTTTGCGTGTCTACTCTCTAACTCAGTGAAAAATTTTGTTCTCTAAGATCATATACTGTTAGAACCTTGCTGTTGACATTTTATCAGTAAGAATTAAACAGCCTGCTTTTGCTTGAAGGATTTAAGTCACTTTGACACAAAGAAGCAGCTTCAATTTCCAACCTAAGAGGAAAGTCTTCATTTTAGAGGCTCCTGAATACAACAGTCCACATCCAGTAACTTTGCTGTTTTCAAGAAACAGGATCCTGAGACTATTCCTTAGTCCATATCTGATGTGAACTTCTTTATAAACAGCCCTGCTTTGAATGTATCAAAACACTACTTCCTTTAAATTTCATTTAAGTCCACATCCTTGTCCCAGATTTTATAACTCTTTCTGTATTTCCAGAGACATCCCACACAATTCCTCTGTTGTGCAGTTTCCCTCACTGGAATGGATCAATAATCCTGCTCTGTCTGAATACAGGTTTGTCCCTGCTGGTCTTGGGCTGGACAGGTTAGGACAAGAGGCATCAAAGTCTAGTCAAGGTTCATTCCAATGGAGTAGGAAGTCTTTCGGGCAATTAAAATTTATTAAGAAAAGTAGGGTTCAGCAGCATAAGTTATGTGAACCAGAAATGCCACAAAAACAGTCCAACAGCATTTTACTCACCACCCTAAGTAGTGTGCATGTGTGTGTGGGCGTTTGCCTGTGTGTATGTCTCTGTGTGTGTGAGATACTATTCTCTACCAGAAGGAACCACGGTTCCTTGAAGTGTAGTTGATTGCATTACCTATGACAGGAAAAAAATCAAGATTAGCTGGAAACCCTTGTTGCCAGAAATAAAGAATGCTTCAAAAATCTTGTGCAGGTGTAAAGAAAGGAGTAGGCTCACAGGGGCCACACTGGGGTAATTTGAGCATCAAAAGGAGGATAATTATAGTTAATAGAATTGAGACTATAATGATATCCAAAATGGGAAGAGATAAACTGTACAAATCCATAGTTGTAAAAAAAAATTAGGAATGTATCATGTTTTTAAAATTAATTTTAAGTCCACATATGAGGGTTTTTTTTTTTTGAGTATGTTAAGAACATACACTAGGGGACCGTTACCAATTACAGGAAGAGGTGATTAGCACCAGTGAGCACACATACAACCGGTAAAGGGAAGGTCCAACCATGTTCGAAAATGAGATCAATCAAATGTCTGACTCTACAAAGCTCCTTCAGATAGTAACGTGATGCTAATAAGGCATGAAAAATTTCCCAATACTGTTAATAGACTATATATATATATATATATATATATATATATATATATATATATAATCTATGTAAATGTCTATCTAATGGTAACACATAGAACAATCACTCAAATCTCTAAAAAGTCATTTTAGGGAAAGATGGTGCTACGGGAGATGTAGGCGGCTGGGCATCACAGATTCTTGTACCGCTATTCCTGTAAGGGCTGAGGTGCCTTCATAGTATTTTTAACCAATCCACGTTATCTGGAAAGCCTTTCATTTTGCCAATGAATTTTTCTAACATAGTTTATGCTAATAAATATCCTCTAGTGAAAGTGAAGATTATAGCGGCTGAAGTAAATGCCTGTTGTGTCAACGTCTAATATTTTTGAGGCCCTTTTGTTGTGAGAAGATCATGTAGTTAGAATGTCCGGTCAAGTAAATACAATCAATGACAACGCTGACAATAAGGACACAGGCACAAGACTTCTGAAAAATACGTAAGTCATATGAAGAGGTAACAATGCAAGGTAATGGGCGAGGTGGAAGTTACAAAAGTTATGGAAAGTAGTTTCTGTTACTTTACAGGTTCTGAGGGTTTCTACAACAGCTTTTGACAGGCACGAATCATTAAGTCTGACCCCGTCTTCATTTGCTACCAAATCACCTTGGTGAGGACTACAATTCCCAGAACGCAACGCTCTGCTCCCTTGACTCCGCTTCCTTAGCCGGCCGGGAGATGTAGTTTACAGAACGACGTCTTCGACTCGAGTTTTACGCACTTGTCAGCAAGGACTCAGCCGTAAAGGCCTCTTTCCATCCGGGTCTTTCCATTTTCGGAGGTAGCTCGGATTGCGGAGCCTAATCTTGGCTCCAGGCTGGGCAGGAAGTTGGCAGATGGTCGGCTGACGAGGCGCTCTAGGCCGAGCGGTTTTCGTCTCTATGACCACAGGAGGCGGTCTCCGGTGTCCCGAGGAGGGCGCTTGGAGGGGGCGTGCGTCAGTTCCGCGCGGGGCTGTCGGGGAACCATGGCTGCCCCAAGAGGTGAGGCCGGGGGCCGCTGGAACGGGGGAACCTGCGGGGGGCGGTGGCGCGGGAGTGTCAGCTTCTGTCCGCGCCCGCGGGGCTTCGGGGCAAGGCTGAGGCGTCGGGCGTCCGGAGTTTGTTTGGAGCCGCTCCCTGGCGCGAGCTCGCGCCGCCGCCTGTCAAGGCAGCGCCGGGCAGCCAGCCTCCTACTGCGGCTGCCTTCCCAGAGGCGGATTCCGCGCGGGGCCGTTCGGCGGCCGGAGACCGTGCCTGCTTCGACGAGCTTGCAGTGGGTGGGAACCGAATTCGGACAGGCCCGGGCTGCGGCGGACCCGGAGAGGGGCCGGAACGCAGGTCCCGGGCTGGACCCGCATCACCCCGTGGGAGGCAGGACTGTGCTCCGTTCCGGCGGGGTCGTCGCGGCTGCGGTCTCTTCTGCGCCTTCTGCCCTACGGATGCTCAGAGGCTTAAGGGCATGCTCCGGCGCGGAGCCCAAGCTGCGGCTGGTCCCTGTGACAGCCACTGAAAACATCACTGGGGCATTAGAACAGCGCTGAAACGTAACGAGATGGAGAAAGCAGTAGTTAAGAGTTCCTTCCCTGGAGAATGTTGTGTGTGGTTAGAAGGAACACTTGATAATTTGGGGTGGAGGGTGAGCCCCACCGCTTTTCCCTCAGGGATGGCAATTAGGGTAATAATGTTTGATGACTAATTGCCATTTCATGAGTGATTCTGATTAACCCCGAAGCACTTTGTTTTGCTGAGTGGGATGTGTACGTTAGGAGCAGAGTTGAATTTCTGGACCTCAGAGCAGTAGCTAGGACAGGTTGGGTGACTCCCAGATTCCTAATCCACCCTTCTCCCAAAGAGCATTTGGCTTCACCTCTGAGTAAATGTTAAACAAATACTTAAAGCATATCTTTCTGCATGGGTGCTAAATTATTTTCCTGGTTGGGGAACCCACGTTTATCATTCAAGCCCTGCCCATGGCATTGTCTGTAAGTGCATATCATTCTCTTATATGTATTCTCCCTTTTCAAATAAGTCCAACCTTAAGAGTCTTTTTGTAGTAACACAGGAAATAAGGGGAGAAAGTAAAATTGTTCTGATGACATAGAATAGGGACAGCAAGATTAATGATGAGCAAAACTTCACAATTACAGAACTCAAATCATCTGAAATAGTTCCAACAATGTACAGATTTAGGCTTATTGCCAATAAATATTTGTTGTGTCTTAGGCTAAGTCTTATATGCCCACTAAAAATGTAGAACACTAACATTATATTTCTATATTAAATATTTAATTTAGGATATCCGAAACTGTGTCAGTGTGCTGCATAATCTTGCAGGAACAAAAGCCTTGCCTAAGTGGTTAATATTTAAAGTCAGCTGTGTTTTGTGTATGTATGTATGTATGTTTGTGTTCATGTAATTGAAATGTATTGTTTTGAAATGTTCAAATGTCATGGGTTTTAAAAAGTATTTTGTGCTTGAAATTGGAAAGCATTTTGAGTTATAACATTGACTTTTATAAATATAATATTGTCTACTAAATAATATCTTTGTTGTATGTATTTTACAGAAAATGTCAGTTTATTATTCAAGTTATACTGCTTGGCAGTGATGACCCTGGTGGCTGCAGCTTATACGATAGCTTTAAGATACACAAGGACATCAGACAGAGAACTCTACTTTTCAACCACAGCCGTGTGTATCACAGAAGTTATAAAGTTATTGCTAAGTGTGGGAATTTTAGCTAAGTGAGTATAAATACTTTTTAGTGTGTTAAATTATTAATTTTCACGAGTAGTGTTTCTCAACCTGGGGCAGTTTTGCTCTGCAGGAGATCTTTTTTTGGTTGGGCCCACTTGGGTGATGCTACTGGCATCTGCTGGGTGGGGGCCAAGGATGCTGCTAGACCTCCTACAATGCATAGCACAGCCCTCCACAACAGTATCGTCCAGCCCCAAATATCAGCAGTGCAGGTCGAAAGACCCTGCTCTAAACCAGGGGTTGGCAAATTTTGATCCTTGGGCCAAATCTAGTTTGCTGCCTCTTTGTTGTAGCAGAGACTGTGGCTCGCAAAGCCTAAACTATTTACCACTTGGCCTTCACAAAAAATTACTGTTGTCTGTTTTAGAGGCATATAATGATAGTAATAGTTAATGTTTCTTGTGTTTCCTGTGTTAAGTGCTTTTCATATAAATCATCTAATCTGTATACATTTTTTAGGTAAGTACTGTACCCCTATTTTACCTACATAGCATCTGAGGTTCCTCAATATTACACTGTTAATATGTGGCAGCACTGGGCTTTGATTTGAATCAGTATCATTGTATGAGAATCGTTTTTAGCTAAGGATGCAGCATAAGAGAGGGTTAGGAATAGGGCCTTTGGAGTGACACATAACTTTAAACCTAGACTCACTGGGATTATGATTTTGCACACATATCTTAACCTCTCTAAGTTTTAGTTTCTTTATTTTTTAATTGCAGAAAATAATACAGGGTTGTGAGAATTAAGTAAAATCTGGTAGGAAATTGCATTGGGGAAAGATTTATGAGATGTGGCCCTTTTGGGTCATGTGGCAGGTGAGAATTCATACAGGTTTCAAGGTGTGAGTTGGTGAGAGTGGGGCACCAGTGAGGAATAGCATGTGTGTAAGCTTTTAGGTAGAAACAAATTTCATATAAATACTTTTAAATTTCACTTAACAGATATTTATTGATTTCCGTGTTATGGTTTTATAAAAAGTGTTGGATATACAAGTATAAATGAAATAGATATGGTTTCTCCTTGCTTGGAGCTTAGGCTTAGTGGAAGAGAGAGAAAATAAACCAGTAAACACACACATGATTACACATAATCATGTGAAAAAAATACTCTAAATATGATTTGGGGAGGGAGAAAAGAACAGAAAATTAACTTGAGGCCACATGGTGGCAAGCTTTAATATATTTTGAGTTTAAGATCTATTTTGTGGGCTGAGATACTGTGGGAGCTTAACTTGTTAGGTTGTGAGTAGGGTAAAATCTCAGACCTTTCACAGTTTTGTACTTAACAAGATTTATTTTTATGGAGATTTGGCTTCGTTTAGGGGATTCTTCATTCTGGAAAATGTCAGATAAATAAGAGGCCTGGTTGTACCTTTAAAAGGCAATGTTCCAAATGCAAAAACCTGTATCTAAAACCCCGCAGCAACTTATACACAGCAACCCAAGAGTTTAATAAAATCTTAAGGCTTGTCTTCTTTCAAGATAAATGTAGGGGTATTGGAAGAAGAAGGTTATAAGGCAACCCATCTCTTCTTTTTATTCCCCAAATTCCATGGGGAGAATCAATTGTGGCTCAAGAATGAAACAGGACTGTCAAGCGTGACATCAGCCATTTTGAACTATAAGGTCAAATCATGATTCAGTTGTTTTGTAACTGTCAGGAATTTTTAAAAACCAGTGTGCAAAAAAAGCAGTGAGGGTTTGGTGTAACTCAGCCACTGAGCTATTTTGTGCTAACCCACCTGTATAGACTTTGTTTTATTTTGATGCTTTTCCAGCTTTGTATTTGGTGTGTAGTATTTTCTTATTCTTCAGCTCTTCAATGTTATGGGTATGGTCAGTTGTAGTTTGTTTTGTGGAAGCTTTTTTTTTTTTTTTTGAAATTACATACATAACAGCACAAAAATTTCTTAAACATTTTTTAAAAAATGTTTATTTATTTTAGAGAGAGAGAGAGTGAGCAAGCAAACGGGGAAGGGACAGAGAGAGAGAGAGAAGAGAGAGAGACAGAATCTGAAGCAGGCTCCAGGCTCCGACCTGTCAGAACAGAGTCCATCGTGAGATCATGACCCGAGCTGAAGTCAGACACTTAACTGACTGAGTCACTCAGGCACCCCAAAGTACAAAAATTTCTAAGAATTCACCAGACAAGTCAAATAATGGTGTTGAAATAACAACAGTTTGGAAAACCAAATTCTGTACTTGCTCAACATCGTCATCAATAATTAGTTGCTGTGTCTATCACTAGCATAATGTAAAGTCTCACAAGAGAGGCTCTTTTATGAACCTATACTTGCAGAGTATTCAAGACCAGGGATAACTAAGAAAAAGAATTATGACATGCATAGTTTTGGTAGTTGGCCTTTGACATTATATGGATAACAAGAATTTGGCAGTGAAAGAGAATCATTTAAAGCACACAGTTTCTAAGTGGAAAAGCACTGGCAAAAAAATATATAGAATATGAAACTAAATCCATTTGAAATTACTGGGTTTTTAAGTGAATGTAATTTTTGTGGAGAAATATGTTTGCAAATTTTCATGTGCTTATTCAGAACACGTTGATAGAAATGAAATACCTGCTATTCATAACAAGAAAATATTTTATTTCTTGGAACAAAGAAATTGCTTTTAAGAGAGCATCTGTAAAAATGTTAATTTCTTAGGGGCGCCTGGGTGGCTCAGTCGGTTAAGCGGCCGACTTCGGCTCAGGTCATGATCTCACGGTCCATGAGTTCGAGCCCCGCGTCGGGCTCTGTGCTGACAGCTCAGAGCCTGGAGCCTGTTTCAGATTCTATGTCTCCCTCTCTCTGACCCTCCCCCGTTCATGCTCTGTCTCTGTCTCAAAAATAAATAAACGTTAAAAAAAAAAGATTTAAAAAAATGTTAATTTCTTAGAATGGTAAAAAAGTGAAAGATAAAGAAGAATTATTTCAACTGAGGAAGTCACAGACTGATAATTCCAAAGTGAAATGAAAGGCTCTGTGATTGCTTCTTTAGCTTGTTCAGCAATATGTGGTTAGACACTTGATAATGAAACTAAAACATAGCTATTTGGGAAAGATATCCAGTGAAAATGTTGAAAGTTGGTTCTAGATCTTGAAAGGACAACTGGCTTTTATCAATTCACCTGAAACAGTTTGGAATATGAAAAAGATGAATAAAATACAGACTCCAGGTCACTAAGAATGAATTGAAGTGTTAAGAGTTGCAGCAAATGAAAAACCCAATAACTTTACATTTGTCTTTTTGATTGAATGATGTGAAATTTGCAAAGAAGTAAAAGATTTTCTGGATACTCTTCACGCTGTCATTTATTTGTATATATATTAAAATTGATAACTTAAAAGGTAGATCAAAGGCAAATAGGATGTTACGTAGTTTGTCAAAAAACACAAGTTGGATATTAGTGTTTTATCTTACTGTAATGGAGAAACTTAGAATATCAGAAAATATTTGTGGGAAGAGATTAGAAGCAATATTTTATCATTTGGGAGAAAGGATAAAAACTTCAGGACATTGGGAGAATGTGAAAGAATTATATTAGAAATAATTAAAAGTTTGTAACTTGAAGAATCTTCAGAGAAGAAAAAGTGAGAAAAAAATAAATCCTGATAAAATTTCTCTCATATTATGAAAATAAAGTTAATGTAAAAATTAGACAACATGTTACAAATTCTGACTTGAAAATTTGGGAGAATGACAGGAAAAGGAAAGAAACCTGGAACTACTGTTTAAATGTAAAAAAATTATTAAAAGAAGTTAAAAGCTTCCTCCTCTTTCCCAGTCTTTACCCTATGATAAAATGCAATAACTTTATAGAGTTTATATAAATACTTCAAAACTTCAATTTGGTCTGAACTTTACAGACAAGTTTGGCTGTTTGTTCATTTAGTATTGTCTCTACAGTAATGCTTTTTTTTATATTAAATATAATTTATTGTCAAATTGGTTTCCATACAACACCTAGTGCTCATCCCAACAAATGCCCTACTCAATGCCCATCACCCACTTTCCCCTCTCCCCCACCCCCCATCAACCCTCAGTTTGTCCTCAGTATTTAAAAATCTCTTATGGTTTGTCCCTCCCTCCCTCTCTCTAACTTTTTTCCCCCCTTCCTCTCCCCTGTGGTCTTCTGTTAAGTTTCTCAGGATCCACATAGGAGTGAAAATATATGGATCTCTCTCTGACTGACTTATTTCACTTAGCATAATATCCTCCAGTTTCATCCACATTGCTGCAAATGGCCAGATTCCATTCTTTATCATTGCCAAGTAGTATTCCATTGTATACATAAACCACAGCTTCTTTATCCATTTGTCAGTTGATGGACATTTAGGTTCTTCCCATAATTTTGCTACTGTTGAAAGTGCTGCTGTGAACATTGGGGTACAAGTGCCCCTATGCATCAGCACTCCTGTATCCCTTGGGTAAATTCCTAGCAGTGCTATTGCTGGGTCATAGGGTAGGTCTATTTTTAATTTTTTGAGGAACCTCCACACTGTTTTCCAGAGCGGCTGCACCAGTTTGCATTCCCACTAACAGTGCAAGAGGGTTTTTGTTTCTCCACATGTTCTCCAGCATCTGTAACTCCTGATTGGTTCATTGTAGCCACTCTGACCAGTGTAAGGTGGTATCTCATTGTGGTTTTGATTTGTATTTCCCTGACAAGGAGTGACGTTGAGCATCTTTTCATGTGCCTATTGGCCATCTGGATGTCTTCTTTAGAGAAGTGTTTATTCATGTCGTCTGCCCATTTCTTCACTGATTATTTGTTTTTCAGGTGTGGAGTTTGGTGAGTTCTTTATAGATTTTGGATACTAGCCCTTTGTCTGATATGTCATTTGCAAGTCTCTTTTCCCATTCTGTCGGTTGCCTTTTAGTTTTGTTGATTGTTTCCTTTGCAATGCAGAAGCTTTTTATCTTGATGAGGTCCCAATACTTTTTAATTCCCTTGCCTTTGAAGATGTGTCAGGTAAGAAATT